TACACTTAAGAATGTGAGCGCCAGAGTATTTTTCTGACTTGTAAGGAAATGACTGATCGGCTCACTGTGACCTTTATTTGCAATGGGCCCAGCTTTCCTACTACAGAATTTTTAACTCTGAAGGAGGGTAAAAATGATTGATGGCCTGGGTTTTTAACTTATAGATGACTTCTTAGTGTCTATGATCTTTTTCATGTATTTTGACAGAAAAGTGGAGCTTCTTTGTGTAACTCTTTCTCCCATAGCTCATTATATGGTTCCTCTCTTTTAATTTTCATCCTCAGGACTTAAAGTCTCCAAATCAGAGGGATGAAATAGCCGGCGCCCGGGCCTCCTTGAAGGAGAACTCCCCGCTCTTGCATTCGATTTGTTCAGCTTGTTTGGAACATTCGGATGTTGCTTCCCTCAAAGCCAGCAAGGACACCGTTTGCGAAGAAATTCAGAATGCGCTCAACGTAATATCGAATGCTTCCCAAGGCATCCAGAATGTGCTGCCCGCTCTGGAACCTCAGGCAGCAACCCTGGGGAGTGCCCTTGATGAGCTCGAGGTAAGTCAAGAGCAAGGTGAAGTGTGATTTGGTGTCCCAGGGTGAAAGTAAACCGAAGTGGGTTTTTAAATCCATGTACTGCAGTTCAGAGCATGAGTAAATAAAGACCTAGTAATCCAATCAGACTCGACCATCCTCTGGTATGTTCCAGGGAATTGATTAGCAGGAAAATATTCCATCAGTAGACCTCTGAGTCCTTTGCATCTCTGCCAAGGAAGTGGTGAATTTAAATTGGTGATTGGTAATTAGATTGCAATGATGATTTTATTTTCTATAAATCTACTTAGGAAACGTAGGATTTGTCCATTTCACAAATACTTATTATTACTAGTGTACTTTGTGTTGGGATGTAATAGATGACAATCTGCATTCTAAAAGGGGAAAAAGGCAAAAAAAAAATAAACATAGATAAGTCAATTGCATAAAACGTTACATTGAGAAAGTGAGATAGTATCAAATATTTGAAGGAGGTGAGAGAATCAGCAGGTGGAGATCCAGAACCGAGCCCGAAGGCAGGCCCAGTGTTTAGGTGACGGAAGTGGGGGATTGGTGCGGAGAGGGAGGCGATGAGTAGATGCTGAGATCAGAGACCCAGTGGGGTTAGGTCATAAAGGGCTGGAAAGGCTTTTATTGATTGCGGCTTTGACATCAGATTAAATGCGATTCATTGTAAGGTTTCAAGCAAAAGAGTGGCAGGCTGAGACTGCACTGACTGCGTGTCAGGCCAAAGGGGAACGAAGGGAGAAGCTGAAAAGCAGCTTCCAGACAGCTGCGTGCTCCAGTCTCCCCCAGGCAGGAGGTTCCAGGCTTGCACTTTACATCACCACTGGATTCCACCTCAAATTTTAGTTTGGACCAGGGTGGTATCTGTAAATGCTGTGAGGAGAGCCAACAAGATGTGACAGAATGAATGTGACCTGTGGGAGGAAGGGAAGAGTTTTGGAAGCACCCGCCAGATGGAGCTTGGGGTACAAGGTGTTATTAGGAAGTAATATGTGCAAAGGGAAGAGAAGAAGAGCAAGATTAAGCAGAGGAAGAAGTCTACGCCCACAAAGCCTGGACCAGTCAGAGGGGGTTCTGGAGGGAAGGTTGCTCTTGAGTGTCCCTGTCAGGCAGAAAAGCCAGGCCTTTGCCTCTCAGTTACTGGAAGCCGTCAAACACTGAAGAAAGCGATAGCTGGGGGCCCGCCTGCTGTCCTCACTGCCCACAGCTGGGCAAGTCCTGCCTGGCAGGGGAATGAATGGGCAGTGCACCTCTGTGTCTGCCACAGATCATTACAAGGTGTTGTTTTGTTTTGTTTTGGCAACTGGATGGATGAATTTTCATCAGTTATGATGGGAACTGATGATAGGTGAAGCCAGTTTTGAGAAGCTCAGAAACTCAAACTTTATTTTCAACATTCAAGATGATGTCAGGGATCATTAGCGACCCAAGTGAGACCTGTAGCTGCTCGGTGGGGGCAACATTGGGTAGCACTTAGTGATGAATGCCTGGCTCCTAGCTCAGCTGTGGTTCTTACTACCCATGTGACCGTAGGAAAGTTGTTTCCTTGGACTTAGTTTCCTCTCCAATACAGGGGGATAAATCATAGTATTGTTAAAATCAGTGAGAATAATACATGTAAACGTGCTTCGAGCAGTGCCTGGGACTTCATTAGTGCCCAGTAAATCTTAGCTCTCATTATCATCAGTGGAGATGACTATTTGGAGGCAGATTCTTCTATAATTAAGAAATCAACCCGATTAAAATTACTAAGTTTTATTGAGACACTAAACTAAACACATATAATTCCTATGTTTTTAATTTTATTACTTTCATGGTAAACATATTATTTAAATTTAGAATAACCTTTTTGTATGCTTTTCCATTAGTTACATGTTTTTAAACAGGTCACTTCATTTCTAATCCAGCAGTATTCAATTTCTAATTATTGACATCAGTGTGAAAATTTATTAAATTCCCAATTATTAGCATCTATGTGAAAATTTTAGGAACTCTTGTCTAAATAGGGTAGACTCTTTAATAATACCCCATCTTCTTTTTGTTTGCCCTGTGTAATGAGCACTCAGTAAACTTGTCCTTTAGATGCGTACTTTGTCTTCATAATAAGATGAAACTCCTTGTGGGCAAGACTGTTTCTTTACTAATTTTATACCAGCGGTACTAGTTGAATGTTAGGTCCCCCATAAATTAAAATGTAACTTTTCTTGATAGCTAGTCATTTAATTTTTAGAGTCCCTAGAAGATCAGCATTTTTATTTATTTTTTACAGAAAATAAAACTGAGACTTGCATAAGTTATGTAACTTGCTTAAGTCAGAAGGCTGGTGAGTGATCATAGCTGGGATGTGAATCTCATCTCTCTGATTCCAGAAGATAGTTCTATATTCAATTCTCATTGATAGAACTTAAGGGGCTTAATTAAAATTCAACACAATTTATGCTAAGATTCTTAGTTTCTATAAACTGTCAGTTAAATTATAAATGTAACCAAGTATAAAAGATAGAATAACTTGTTAGTGAAAAGGACTTTGTACCTGGGTCATTTAAGTAGAAGTAGTTTATATTTGAGAAGGGGCTAATACAGTGAGGTGAAATTTCCTAGGCTGGACATACAGGCTTGTATATCATTTCTCACAGTGCTACACAGAATTGTGTCAGGGGATGCTTGCATATCTGGTCGAGAGAAAGAGAGAGAGAGAGAGAGAGAGAGAGACAGAGAGAGAGAGAGAGAGAGAGAGAGAGAGAGAGAGAGGAGAAAGAGAATCAAGTCAGAGGGCCCATGGGTGTCTCTCTCTTACTGAGGGATTCTTGAGAGATAGAGATGATAGATAGATAGATAGATAGATAGATAGATAGATAGATAGATGAGATAGTTGGTTGCAGCTTTAATGGGACCGGGCATAGGAGAAAAGGAAAAGTCTTCCTTTTCTCAAGCGATGTGGCTGATTCACTTCTCCAGGACAAGGCAGGAGGGAGCCCCACAGATATTTCCCTGAAATTCTAATACTGTCTCCACAACCTTTGAAATGAATTCAGTTTCAGTCAAAGCTAGGCATGCCCAAGCTAGTGCAAATGCTTGAATTTTGTACGTATTTTTATATCCAAGTTACAAATAGCTGCCGAGGCTGTCTGAACTAGATAAAGCAGAATTTATTGAGCATTTAGCCTTTTAAAATGATTTTGTAAATTAAATGGTTGCTCTTCTCTTTATTTACAGGAAGCAGGAGTGGTAAAAGATCCAAAGTAACCTTTGCTCTATCTTGCTTCTGCAAATATAATACCTTGAAATAAATTGATGTAGTAAATACGCTGTTGGGAGGAGGTGTCATTACATGTTTATGGTGTGGACATGTATCAGAGTGCTTATTCAACAAACACCACGCCGCAGCTCCGTTTGCTCTTTCATTCTGGCCCACACCTGGTTGTGGGTCTGAAGCCTGAGATTTATTGGTGGAGAAAATAGAAGTTGAATTAGAATACTTGACAGGTTAAAGTGATTGATTTATTGGAAAGGCTAATATGAATTACAGGGTGTTCCTTCTGCATTTGTGACCAAGTGAGGGTTGAAAAATGTTAAATTATAGATTAACAGAATTCCCAAAATGTTTTTAAGCAAGAAACTTTGCCAGTGTAATTGCTTTGAAACTCCAAATCTATCAAGATATGCTTTCTCCTGTGGGGAAAAAGCAGCTGTTGTAATCATGGTCCACAGAGTTATCCAGAGCATCTTGTGAAAAAGAAGATAATGACAGAGGAGTTTTGTAGTGTTTTCTCATTTCCAAAGAGCTGTCATATTTATTTTCTTCTGTTTCTTTTTTATATATTCATTTATGTGTCATCATTCCTATATTTATTTATTTATTTATTTATTTTTAATCTTCACCTCAGGATATTTTTTCATTGATTTTTAGAGAGGGTGGGAGGGGGAGAGACAGAGAGACAAACATCGATGTGAGTGAGACATAAGGATTGGTTGCCTCCTGCATGCACCTTGACCAGGGTCGGGGCCAGGGAGGAGCCTGCAACCAAGGTATGTGCCCTTGACCAGAAAAAATCTGGGACCGGTCAGTTCGCAGGCCGCTGCTCTATCCACTGAGCCACACCAACTAGGTCCCTATATTTCTTTATTTACTATTGTATCTCCAACACCTAGAACAGCCGTGGGTAAACTATGGCCCGTGGGCCGGATCCGGCCCATTTGAAATGAATAAAACTATTGAAAAAAAAGACCGTACCCTTTTATGTAATGATGTTTACTTTGGATTTATATTAGTTCACACAAACACTCCATCCATGCTTTTGTTCCGGCCCTCCGGTCCAGTTTAAGACCCCATTGTGGCCCTCGAGTCAAAAAGTTTGCCCACCCCTGACCTAGAATAACGCTCTGCACATAGTAAGTGCTCTGTGAATATTGCTGAGTAAATGAAGGAAGGAAAGAACAGATACAGGAAGGCTGCATGTCATTTTGCGATACTGGATCAAAGTGCATTTTTCCCTTACCCCTGTTTTTTTCCTCCTTTCTCCAACTGGCAGTGCATATACTTGTGGTGGGTGGCTCTACTTTACCTAACTTTTAACTGGGACATGAATTTCTAGTGCGGTAAGCCACCAAAAACCTGTCTAGTGATATGCTGCTCAGATTCTTTTTTGTGATAAGGGAGCCCAAAGAGAGAACAATTCTCTTCTCTCAGTTGCCATCTAGCCTGAGTTTAGATGCCCTGCAACTGCCAAGGTATGCTGCTGCCCTTTACTAAGAGTAATAATTTGCAGAGTACAGTCCTTATATTTTTATGTTTTCACCTGAAGGAGAAATGGGACCTGTACTACACAGATGAGCATTTAGGACTGGAGAAGTACAGGCATCACTGATGTCCAGGAGCACTTTAACATGCTTTTCAAAAAATGGTTTGTTTTCCAGAAATATAGTAAAATAATAAAACTAAAAATAATGGATCAAATATTTTTAAATACATGGACAATCCAACAGGTGAATTAGGA